TCATTAATATTTTAGTTTTCATTCAGTCCCATTGCCACAGGTATATAAAATAAAACTCCAGACTCTGGAGCAGGGGAAATGTTCTTCTCTGTGTGGCAGTCTGATGGATGAGTCTGGGTTTGGCAAATGCCTGGAGAACAAAACCTGGGGTTGTGTTTCTGGGGTTGGCCTAGGCCCCCGAGTTCCACTGAACAGAAATGTTAAAGCCTCAGCTTTTGCATTTTCCAGCATGACTGTTCCCAAGTGCACAAAGCAAGGTCCATAAAGGCATGGTTGAATGAGTTTGGTGTGGATTAACTTCACCGGCCTGCACAGAGCCCTGATCAAACCCTATCAGACACCTTTGGGATGAACTAAAGCAGAGATTGTGAGCCAGGCCGTCTCGTCCAACATCAGTGTCTGACCTCACAAATGCTCTTCTGGATAAACGGGGACAATTTCTCACAGACAAACTCCAACATCTTGTAGAACGCCTTTTCAGAAGAGTGGAAGCTGTTACATCCATATTAAAGCCTATGGATTTAGAATGGGATGTCATAAAAGCTTCTGTAGGTGAGTGTGTAGGTCTCTCAGTACGTCTGTCCATATTGGGTAGCTTGTAATGTTTTTACTTCCTTTGAAGTGCTCATGTTAAGAATTGGTGGCCCACTCCTGGTCTTAATTATTATTTATTGCCCCCTAAACCAGCCGGCCCCTTTCTGATGAAACTCCCTGAATCTATATCCAGTCTGGTCTTAAATCATGAATTATTATAATGAGTCTTCTAATGTCCTCACTACTGATTTTTTAACTATCCCAAATTCTTTTAACAAGTGTCAGGTCAAACTCATCGCCATGACCACACCCTACCTGGTTTTTAGTCTTTGGTGTAAAATTATCATTTGTAGAAATCAAGGAGATGTTTGGATCAGATCACTGGTTTAATGATGTAGAGCAACCGCAGAAACACCATAATCTGGTAGATGCTTGGCTGAACAAACAAAACTCTCTTGCCTCAGTGTGTTTGTCTGATTCGGATCATCACTGTTTAATCTGCCCACCTACAAGCTCTCCTGCCAAACACCAATGTAGCGTCGCTTGAAGCCGAATAGTGTTTTTTTAGATATACAAAGAGAGTTATAATCTAAGCAATACAGTTACATCGCTCATGTGCGACGGCATGTCGGAGGTTCTTGACGTCATTTTTGGGCCTACACTGTTCGATATCTGGCTTACTCCCTTGTAGTGGACCCCTAACATGTTGTAAACCAGTTACTGTCATCTACTGGTCACTTTTCACAATATATCAAGCCTGTTAGAAGAAATCTTGGTGTCTTGATAGCAATTTATGTTTTGAGCATCACATCACGTTTGTCCTGTCGTGTTTTTGCCACCTATAAAAAATATTGCAAAGTAAGATTTGCTTTGAGATGCAGAACCTGTTGTACATGCTTTTATTTCCTCACTTTTTGATTATTGCATCAGCCTTTTCTCCTGTAATCATCAAAAGAACTTGAATCTACAGACTCAGCTGCTTGGCTTTTAACAAGAAAGAGGTACCATCACATCATACCTGGTTTGGCCTTTTTACACTGGCACCTTTAGATTAAAATTTACTCATTTAGCTTTTATCCAAAGCTTTTTTACTCAAAAACTATTCTATGAGCTTATGTCAATGAGGCCTACAGGCCATTAAGAGAAATAGAAGTTTGAAAACATGTAACCACAACGGCAGTGATAATAACACTTTATCTAATTTTCATCACCCTTTCTTCTGATTTTAATTTAAAATACTTTCTTTACGTGTTTTAAGGAAAGAGAGTGAAAATACCCCAAAGGAAATAAAACCTAACTGGTTTAATCTCAGTATCCTGTCCACCTACAGTCCAAAGCTGTCTGGTTGTTACAGTTTGCATGTTCATTTATCAGTTTAAGACGCTCTTTCATAGAAGAAAAAAGTAATCTGATCAAATTTACCTTTAAAAGCTGAGAGACCCACCTGAATGAGTTCCTACACCAGTGGCCGATGTTTGTCCTCTGCATCCAAACCTCAAATATGGGAAGTGATAACAAGCAGCAGGCTGATGATGATCTACAGCTGCTCTTCTAAGGAAAAGGAGTGACGTGAATATGGAAATGATGCATCACAGAAATAGTGAACACATAGAGAACATCAGCAGGAAAAAGAACTGTCACACTCCTCAACATTTTATTTTACTGGGAAATGTGCATGTGAGCCGCTCACAATAACTGGCCACAGTGCTGACACACCTGCTGATGTTTTCTTCTGCTTTTACTTATTTCTCTTCCTGAGAAATCAGGATTTAAAAAATCTAATCAAACTTTTAAAATCTGTCTTAATAGCGATGCTTATTATATTTCATAAACGGCTCCCTGATGACACAGAGGAGGTTCTTTGGTGCTGATGTGAGCTACTTACTGCAGCCACTGAATCAGGTTTGGATCCAGATCCTTCAGTGACTTGAGGTACAGGAGCTTTGTTCTGGGACGCTGTGCTGTCTTCTGCACTCTTTGCTCCACCTGTTTAATGTCCCTTTGGAGGTGGAGGCTTGTCTGTCTGATGAATCCAACTGTTGAACCATCTGAATATTTTATCTTCATTTGCAGAATCTGCACTCTGCTGCCTTCACACTTATTGAGACAACATTTTAACATAAAGGTGAACTGTTAACCACCATTTTAGCATGAAAATGGATCAGGAGAAACTGCAGGCCGACACATTCACTCTGTCTAACAACACAAACATACAGCTTGGTGAACTGAAATGTCACTATGTTCAAGCAGTGACTGAGAAACACTGAGTCTCTTCTTTCACTCCAAACATCCAGATAAATGCTTAAATGCATTTAGACTCTGTGCACCTACACAGCCTTTACAGGAGGGATCATTAACTGTCTACGACTTCTCTTTGGTTAAACACGTCTTTCCCTCTGGGAGACATTTATCAATAATCATGTCACAACACATGAAACTCTCTTTCAAATCTCAGCTGTCAGCATTTACTGGAGAAATATCAACATCAGATAATGTTAGCATTCACTTATTTTATTTATCTATTTAAAAGGGACAGCGTACAGTAAAACATAAACGTTACCATTTGATGCACTGTACCAGATTATAGCTTCAAGCTAATTTGCATCTGTAGACCCTTGGACTTAATGATTAACTATTTGTGCCTGATTAACACATCTCTCAGGGCTCCATGTTCACATGTAGCCGCTTTTTCCCTGAGTCGAGTCTCAGAACAGTCAGTTGTCTCATGAAAAGTCATTTCCAGGAACACACCTCATGTTTTAAGAAAGATTTACATCATTGCAGACTGTGTGGAGACAGAGGACAAAACGGAGAATTTAAATGAACATGAAAACCATAACAGTCTGTCTCCTTTGAACCATCTTGTGCTGAGGGATGTGAGCTTAGTTATATTTGAGTTGAATTAGTTGTATATTAGTGTTGTTGGACACTGTGAATGTGTCGATGTTTGGTTCATTTCTCTTACATCATTTGCTGAATTGCAAATAATGTCTCAAAACTTGTTAACGCAGGTAAGGTATGGTACAAAATAACAAAAAACCTAAACAAAATGCTAAAAAAATAGCTTTAAACTGGATAAACTGTCTAGATGTGTTTATGGCTGCCCTCATTTCTTTAGAAGCAGGTTTGCATGCAAAGCACAAGGCAGCTTTGAACTGGAGGTGTACAGCATACTGTGGTTAAACCAGTTACTGCTTCAGTTCTGACATGTCCATCCATCCATCATCAACCGCTTATCCTGCGTACAGGGTCGCGGGGGGCTGGAGCCAATCCCAGCTGACATCGGGCGAAAGGCGTGGTCCACCCTGGACAGGTCGCCAGTCCAACAATTAGACTAGCCTGCATGTCTTTGGACGGTGGGAGGAAGCCGGAGCACCCGGAGAGAAAGTAGGAAATATAAATATTTTATTGTGTAACAAGAGACAGCAGAGGAAAAAAACAATCATAGACGGTAGAATATTTGGAATAAAGAACATGAGGTAAAGACAGAAAGAAAAAAGAAGAGGTTTGAGGTTTGAGTCTGTAGATCAAGAAAATGCTCAAAAAGTTCCTACTTTATATCTTTTTACTTTATTTTGTATTTCCGTTATTAATTTGCTTATTTTGCTGATTAAATTTTACAACCTTTAAAATACATCCGATTCATGTAATAGGTCTGTAACATGCAGTTATCACTAATACGCCAAATATTAAACTTATTTTAAATTAAAATGTCATTTTTTTCTTATTTGTGTAGTCAAATAAAGATTTAGGAAGAAGACGGCGAGGCGGCTAGAATGAGCTCAGTTCATCTATTATATTTAAAGAAAGACTCATTGAGATAAAAATCCCTTATTCAAAGGCATCCTGGCCAAGAAAGGCAGCAGGACAAACAAACGACACAATAAAATAAAATCATCTTCACGTATACCTATGCACTCATTGTCCACTTTATTAGGTACACCTTGCTAGTACCGGCCTGGATCCGCTGTTGCCTTCAGAACGGTCTTAATTCTTCGTGACATACTTTCAACAAGGTGTTGTTGCATTTTCGTCCACACAACTGCTGCTCAACAGTAACAGCCCACACATCAAAACCAGACTTCATCATGCAGATAAAATACACTAATGAAATGCTTGCTCATTAAAAAACATTCATCTAAAGGAACCTCAAGAATTCAAATAATCTAAAATAATATCTGCTTTGCTTCTGGGATTAAAGGAGAATAATGACAGACATCAACTTCCAGCTCCAAACTAATAAAACACATTTTATTTCCATGTGTTGAAGCCATCACAGTGAACCAGAGCAAGTTGACCAAAACATTTCCCAGCAGCCACTTCTCCCACAGCAGAGTCCAAACAGTGCTTCCTGTTCTCTACAGTTAGGTGTCTTATTGGAAATGGTCTCAGTAGATGACAGGATCTGTCTCGTCTCTATCCTTTCTATTGGCCTCCATTTCTCCTCCTGTTTCCTCCCCTTTCTCTCTCTCCCTCTTTCTCTGCCTACATGAAGCTGACTGTGGAAATGTTGTCATCATTCATACTGATGGACTGCTGATATCATTGCTGTCCATTCTGCAGCAACACACAGAGGCCAAAAGCTTGTCTATGAACCCTTTCCTCATGAAGACATACAGGACTGAGTCTGCAAGAGGACTGAACCTGACAATCATAAGACACAGAATGAAATTGTCATGAATTACATCCAGGTAGAATATGATGCTGGGCAGGAACAGCAGCGTGTAAATAAGCAGCAACAGAACCAAAACTCCCACAGTTCGTCGTTTTTCATCAGAGGGGACCGAGGTGGAAGCAGACAGGGCTTTGAGGGTCCCAACCAGGCAGAAGATTAACAGCAGGAAGGGAAGGAGGAAGAGGATGGCGAACATTATGTATGTCCCCAGATTTTCAACAAAGACATAGAAACAGACGCCACAGACACCAGAAAGGACCCAGACCAGGACACAGACCACCACAGAGGTCTTGATGGATAGTCTGCGGCTGTACCACAGTGGGTGGGCGATGACCAAATACCTGTAATACAAGATGGACACAAAGTCTTTGAGGAGCTTCAGAGTTATAAACTAATATAATGTTCAGACACAGAAGGAGCTCCACACATACTGGATAGACAGATAGATACCTTTCCAGGGCGACGCAGACCATGAAGTAAACACTGGCAAACAGAGCAGAGAAGTAAATAGACATGAAGATGTCAGATATAATCTCATCCACAGTTGGTGCCACATCAGCAATCATGCAGCAGAGCTGAATCAGGTCGGTAATGAGAAGGTTGATGAGGTAGATGGGAGCAACATGATCACTTCTCACCTGCAGGAAAACATTGGTAAAAGTCAACAAGCAGTTGGAAACATGTTGTGAAGTCCACCTCCTCCCAAATCTGTCATCTTGCTCTGCCCAGCAGCTGCAGTCAGAGCCATTTCTGACTTTTTCATCCAACAGAAATCTCAGATATGACCCACTGGCCAATCACTGCAGGAACAAGACTAAGGGCCAGATTTCCTGCAGCTTCTGCAGCAGTTTTTCAGCCACAGATATGAAGCGTTCTGTCTCAAACACATGACCTGGATTTATCCAGACTGGAGTTGCAGTTTGAGGCTCATGTTTGTGTTTGTAAGGTGAGAATCTCTCCTCCTTGAATCAGCATTTCAGGGAGGATCGCACAAATAAGAAGAGGAGCCATGTTAACAGAAGGTGGGAGTGAGCTGGGAAAGTCTGAGTTTTAGTTTCCTGAACAGATGATCAGAATTAGTTCAATCAACTCAGGTATGTTGAACCTGATGGAAGCGCCTGCGTGGGGATGAAAAAAAATCATCTATTGAGCTCTGATACTACGTGGGTAAATAACGAGCAGAGCCCCCATTTTAATCCAGTGGTGCTGTAGAAACATGAATGGGTGCCAACGTGGACCATGACAAAGTCTTTAAAAACAGGAGTGGAGGAAGGATCAATACGTTGTGTCACATTTTATACAGCGTTGCTCATTCATCATTTAGCAGACTGGAATTTCATCAATAAATGATAAAGTGCTGAAATTCTCCTTAGCCTATTAGGCTACTTCCAGTTTTTAAATAGGTCGTGTTTATTCAGCTGGAACCTGACGGGACAAAAGGCCGGTGCACCTGAAGATGAAAACATGGATCAAATATAAGACGCAGTTTTCTCGTGGACCTGTGATTGTAAAGTCACAGTCCGACCCAGCAGGTCAGCCTATTAATGATTTTCTTGCAGCTGAAAATGTGTGTAGGTTCAAACTGACTGTTTTGACGTCTATTTTACTTTAATAAAATCTGGCTCATTTTGTATTTTATGAAATGCTGTCACACACATTCAGACTCTCAGCAGCTAATAATGAAAAACTCACTTATAAAGTACATGAATAGTTTCAGCTGCACCGCAGTCATCCTCACTCAGAAATAGTCACATTATCTCCAGCATGATAACTAGATAGGAATGCTCCGATCAGTGTGACTATAGTATGAAAGATTAGGCCTCTTGTTCACTGATCAGTTTTAAACAGATTAGTTTAAACAGTGATCACTATGAAGCTCACAGTAAGTGTTTCAGAGCATCTGAACCTGACAGCTGCCTTGACGTCCACAGAGTCACTGTGTCATAAAGGACAGTGCAGCCTATAGATTCTATTCTGTGCTGATGTCCAAAGATAATCCTCTGTCCATACATCGATGACAGATTGATCATAAAAGTGGTCATGTCCAAGATCATGTTTGGGTAACAAACTAATAGCTTATCTAACTGGGATTTTGATGTTTCTAACGCCGTACTAGCGTTCCAGCATGTGCTTTGATATCGACAGTCTGAATGAGGAAATGTCAGACGGCGCTTCAGGCTCCGCAGGAGGAGTCAGAGAGAAACTCAGCGTTAGTTGAAGTCAACCTCCTTCTGAGGAGGTCAGGTTCGCAGCGTAAGTTTAGAGTTTATCTGATCTCGGTCTGTGAAACTGAAAACCCAGAGTTTCTCTCATCTAAGGCTGAACAAACTCAGAGTTTTCACTAAACCCACTTTCTGAATCAGGGCCCTGTTTAAACCTGCTTTAAATCTGTAATCGACTAGCCTAACCTGTTTTCTGTCTTGTTTCCATCCTGTTTTTATGCTGTTTTGCTTCGTTATCTAGTTGTTTGTTATCTCTAGTTTCTCTATTGTGGTTTATATGCTGATTTTGTTGTCTTTGTTTTGTCATGTAAAGGGCATTTGAGTACCTTTTAAAGCGTTATAGAAATAAAATGTAGTATCATTATTATAATTAAATCATTGGACAAATGAACATTTATGACCTGATGATGGCGTTAAATGAAAAGTCGGGGATCACGAGTGTTAGTACGATTCATCCTCCATGAATGTCTCTATCATTTTTTTGTTAATCCATCAAATAGTTTTCAAAAAACAAAATACAAAATTAATGTCTCCAGATTTCACAATTTCCTCTCAAATACTGCTGCTCAAACTGCTCTGACTGTTTGATGTTTGTCTTGAGCTGTAACTAAATGGTGCCATTAACCTCAACAGTTTAAGAGAAGGCTGGATGGAGCCACACATGGAAACTGCATCTGTTTAGGGTCCAATCAGCTTCATGTACATTTTATCTATGGAATCAACCCTGACACCTAGCCCCCAAACCAGATCCAGATCCTTTACAGACAGACAGACTGTAGGACAGACACACGACACAGACAGGAAATAAATAACTCTCAGTCAGAATGTACATACCATAGAATAAAGAGCATAGATGGCCACCAGGGTCAGAGGAAGGCCGACAGCAACGATTACGTATGTCACCACATTCGGGATGAAATCAGGGTTGTTGTTATAGTCATCGAGCTCAGTGTAGTCGATGCAAGGATAGTAGTCAGAGGTGATGTTCCAGTAATCAAAGCTTTGGTTCAGTGAGTTAAAGTAAAATTCTTCCATTCTTCAGAGTGAAACCTGTTTGAGAGATCAGGTTATTAAAGGGAGCAGGTTTTTAATATCTACCTAACATTGTTCAGTGACATCACTAAAGCTGTGAGGTGAAGTTCACACAAACACAGTGTACCTATAGTTTACCCACAATCATATCAAATCACAAACTGCTGTCTTTCAGTTTTATATTCCTGCACATCCATCTTCATGACTGTTTAAAGTTCTTATCATCTCTACATATAAAAGTAATGTCACAAACTTTACTTAAACTTTACCTTTGAAAGCTCTGATACCCCAATTGAAAGAGTTCCCTACTGCAAAGTCTGATGTGTTGTCCTCTGCAGCTAAACAGTCTACAGTAAATGTCGTAAGTGATCACATGCAGTAGGTTCCTGTTAATCTGCACTTCCTCTTCTGAAGATATGAGAAAGGCACAAATATGCTTTATCCTGTTCTGTGGTCCTGAGATGACTGCCTGTCGTCACCTCAGCTGTAAGTTTAGATGAGCTGCTTTGAGTATCAAACTCTTCCTGTAGGCTTGAAATGAAAGATGGACTCTGCTTGTCTTAAAATAATGACATGGTTTCCAACGTGAACTGCTTTACCAGCACGGCAGCAAAATCCTCTCTCTGTTACACTTGTGTGTTTCAAAATCTGTGAATCACAGTTTTCTAAAAAGCTCCACAGCTGATCCCAATCACCTCCTCCACTCAGACGCTCCTGTTCTCCTGCCATTCGTCACCTGATGGTTTCGTTTACTCTCTCTGCCCAGAAAACTAGTTTGTCTTTTGTATTCTCCAGTACTCTCTCTCTGTATCGCTCACGTGCCTTTTTTGTCTCCTCGGCTCCTGTTCCATATTCTGCACCCCAGACTCCTCAGACCACCTCAGACCACTACTCCTCTTCAGTCAGCGAGCCAGCCTCCCACCATCATCAGCCACGCTCCCCTTTCCTCTCCAGCCTCGTTGTGTTGCTCATTAAAATACATTGTTCTCAACAAACTTCAGAGTGTGTGTCTGCTCCTGGGTCCTCTGAAACACAAACTTAACCGTCTGCCCATCTACACCGCTACACAGGTACGTTGTGTTTGCTAACAGGCTGGACTCAAACGCAGGACTTGTTGTACCGTAAGTCTTTGCTGCAAACCAGGTGATAATGGGAGAATGAATGTGGTGGCAGGGGAATCCAGAGGAGGCGGAGAGAGAGTGGAGGTGTAGGTGTGGACAAATCAACTGTGAGGATGTGAGATTGCAAAGAAGTATTTTCTTTTGGGGAACATGCCCAATTGCCAGAATGACTATAATATGAAAAGCCTAAATAATAAGTTAGCATAATAATGTCACTTAATTATGGGGCACAACTGACATATTTAGGCAGATTATGACAACGTTTTGTGAGTTTCCTGCTGTGAAAGTCAGACAAACACACCTGTAAACATGTTAGTTAGTTAGTTAGTAACTATGTTGGTCCAAACCACGGTGGTACCAACAAGGTACGACAGTTTTGGGAAACGGTCTCACTTCAGATGTTGGTTAGTTTAACAATACATCGTACCAACATATTTCAATGCTACCTTCTGCGGTTGTTTGGGAAACGCACCCCTGATCAATCCTGAGCTCCATCAGAGCATCTAAACATTTCAGAGGCTAAAAGTTGAATTCTGTTTCCTCTGCAGAGTTTACTCTGTCTGTCCTGTCAAGTTTTTTACTACATTTTTTTTGTTTTGCGGCTTAAATGTCCCACTGTATCATTAATGTGCCAATGGAAACCTTTTATTGACTGACAGCAGCCTCTCTAAACATAAGAGTAAACCGTTAAAGAAAACACTCGTCAATACAACACAATTATGAAACCACCTGGGAAGCTACAAGGACCGGTAGAGCTGGGATAAATTTGAGAAAACAATTAGTTGGGCGAGGTGCTGAGGGATGATTTATGCCTACATGAGTATTCAGATATTGTCAGAGATGATCAGCACATCGCACCAATGCAGCTCCTATAATCATTACAAAACAAGTGCAAACAGCTGCTGACATCAAATTATTAGGCTGTAATATCAACTAGAGCACCCTCTGAATTCAGCACTAAGCTGCTGTATTTTTACTATTGTCATATAGTAACAGTAGTGCCCTTTTTGTAGTCTGCAGAAGTCATTCCAACAGTATTGTCCTGTGATGACAGTTGTTGGCTACATTTCAGATACATTTAGCCAAATGTTGTGAAGATTAGTATACCAAGATTTCCCTGTTTACACTACCTGATCAGAGCTCGAGTGTCTGAATCTCTTATTTAATGCAATTTTAGTGAGCCAAGCAGTGGGGAGAAAGACAATGTCTGTAGTGTGATCTTCGACCAAACAGTGCTTTGCCCACTGCAGGTTTTATTTGGGGACTGTCACCTTTTTCTAGGAAAAACGCCTAAAATAACAAACCCAGTAATCAGTAATAACTCCTCAACCATTAGGCCTAGATGCATAATTCTGGTCTCCTTTTAAAGATCAGAAGCTAAGGAATATAAATCCATTGGTAACTGACATATTTATTTTACCATTACAGACTAAATGGAGATACAATAAAGAAAAGTATGATATTTTCATCCTCGCCTGCAAGCTATAGTTTAATGCAATAAACCATCAAAACCATCTTCAAACACATGATAATGCAACTGAATGTCTTCTAATACAGCTGGAATGCAACTGTAACTGTAAATTTGATGAAAATAAACTAAAATACAACACATCAATTTTAAAAAATATATACCAGGCGAATGTCATATTTTGGCAATATTTACTGTTGAAATGTTTATTTTTATTGGGAGTTATCTTTTTTAGCAGTTTGCTAGTTTCCAAAGTGTCCCCTGCAGAAAGCCAAGGTATTTAAAGAAGCAGTCTGACAGTTTGGGAAATCTGCTTGTTCTTGTTGGATCTCAGCTAATAATGAGCTAAAGGTTAAAAAGGGGAAACATACAGCAGACTTTACTAACTTCTACTGAAACATGTTGGTCTGATCTGTTGTGACTGTCCCTGTCACACTTTATCATTTCTGCCCCAAATTATTATCTAAAAAAGTCTGAAAACTTTAAGAGTTGTGAGGAAACCTCATTTGGTCAGAAAGTGCAGGATGCCTCCCTGCTAACAGCAGGTTGGGCTTTATGTTCATATAGACAACAGAGATTTGTCAACCAGCAGAGATTTTGTTGAACCTTCATTTGTCAGCTTTTAATTCACTGAGTTGCTCAAAGACAAACATTCACAGTTTGGTCTACAAACTGATTTTTATTGGATTTCCAGAAAATGTACAATTTCATAGAAACTGACATAAACTGTGGTTTAAGATTTTATCCATATTGCCAAAAACACAACAGCTGCTCCAAAACAGCTGCTCTGAATCACATCACTAAAACACCAGAAATTACACACGTATTTTTCTTATTTACTAACTTATACAAGTACTTATACTTACACAAAATAACAAAAATACAAAACAAACATAGCTTTGGGTAAACATACATTAGTAAACAACTAAATTAAAATGTGTGTGAGAAAGTACAAAGTGCTAAAGACGTGTTGAGATGCTCTCCCTGAGTTAAACATCCAAACAACAGTCCAAATAAAGATTTAGGAAGAAGACAGCGAGGCGGCTAGAATGAGCTCAGTTCATCTAAAATAATATCTGCTTTGCTTCTGGGATTAAAGGAGAATAATGACAGACATCAACTTCCAGCTCCAAACTAATAAAACACATTTTATTTCCATGTGTTGAAGCCATCACAGTGAACCAGAGCAAGACACATTGTCTGTAATATGTCAATGTGTTTCTGGTGTCTAACAAGAATTGTATTTTATTGTTATACTGTGAAGCACCTTGTGATTTTATCTGTAAAAAATGCTATATAAATAAATTTTACTTACTTACACAGCCTGTCTCCACCTGTGTCTGTGGACAGAGACAAGGTTTTTTATCATTATACAGCACAAAGCTGCATAACAAAACACAATTTGTAGTTCCTTTGTGCTACACACACAACATGTAATTAAGTGTAGGCCTATATTAAAATATGGTAACATATAAAATACAACAATACAGTTATTTATATACTATGGCTGTGTTTGAAACGGAGGGCAGCTGCCTCAGAAGGCATCACTTTCAAGTGAAGTCTCTGTTAACAGTAGTTTCGGACAGCCTTCTAGGGCTGCACTAACAGCATCATGTGACGTCAGCACGCCATCTTCTGTTTCTTCTGGCTGTTAAAAGAGACGCTAGCCTTATCGTCAGCTAACTAGATATTTAAAAGCCATATGGCTAACAGACGCCTCAGAAATCATACTGAACAAACTTGGTTGGTTACAGTCACGGGCTACTATGATAGTTCAGTGTTTAGTTCTCACTAACTTTTCATAAATCGAAGCGAGAAAACTACTAAAAACCTTTAAAAATGTATATTTGTGTACAAATTCCACTTGTTTGTCCGCCATCTTGACCAGTTTTCAAAAGCTACGCCGGCTGCAACCGCGCTGGTTTATGGGTAAAGGCAGCATCAAGTCACCATCGGCTGTTACGGGGGCAGTTTGAAGGCATCTTAAACAACAGGAAGAGATCGTTGGAGCCGTTTCGAACAACACTCGATGCCTCGCTGTCCTGTCCGAGCCCGTTTTCAACACAGAGAGTCCATCTTGACTGTGTTCATGCATCATCAATGTACCAAACATCATCAATGTAGAAAACACTTCCTCTCATCTTGCCAGACTCTTGCTCTGACAGCTTGGAACATGGACCACCTGCTGAGTGCTTGATCCGGGATGTTGATGAGGCAGGTCACTGCAGCGCTTGTAGAAGCAGCAGTCGGTAGCTCCTTCAAACTTCACTACACTTGTTTTTTTATCTGTTTTTTCCGGCTTTATTGCCAAAACATGCGTTACCTCTGACATAAATCCAGTCATTGGAAGATGAAGACGTTTTTTTAGGATTAAAGAGCAGCAGACCACGATCCACCCGGCCCAAACAACTGGACCAGGCACCACGGCGGCTGGAGAGAGCCAGGAGAGGAGGGTTAGGTTCTGCTACTAAAGATCCAGTCTGGACAAAATAGGAATTCTGGGACATCTGAAGACAGCTTGAGACCTGCCCCATCAACATCCCGGATCAAGCACTCGGCAGGTGGTCCATGTTCAATGCTGTCAGCTCAAGACTCGGGTAAGATGAGAGGAAGTGGACTGTTTTACATTGATGATGCTTGGTGCATGAACACAGTCAAGATGGACTGAAGATGAAACTTTCATATCATCATCTGGTTACTGCTGTTTACATTCAGCCCAGATGCAAATTCAAAAAATTCACTGTCGAATGTTCGGGTTGTATAGTATGTATATAAATAACTGTATTGTGTTTTATTTTATTTTATTTCATAGGTTACCATATTTTAATATAGGCATACACTGTATTATATGATGTGTGTGTAGCATGCAGGAAATACAAATTTCGTTTTGTTATGCAGCCTTGTGCTGTACAATGACCTTGTAACAAACTGTGGCTGAATCCATGTGCCCTGCAGCGCAGCTACTACTCCTTAACAACTGTTGAGCTTGTTGTTAGCTAGCTTGTTGTTATTTGAACCAGCTGTTGTTAGCTAGCTTGTTGTTGTTTGAATCAGCTGTTGTTAGCTAGCTTGTTATTTATAGCTTGTTGTTTGAACCAGCTCTTGTTAGCTAGCTTGTTGTTGTTTGAATCAGCTGTTGTTAGCTAGCTTGTTATTTGAAGCTTGTTGTTTGAATCAGCTGTTGTTAGCTAGTTTGTTGTTATTTAAACTAGCTCTTGTTAGCTAGCTTGTTGTTGTTTGAACCAGCTGTTGTTAGCTAGCTTGTTGTTATTTGAACCAGCTGTTGTTAGCTAGCTTGTTATTTGAAGCTTGTTGTTTGAACCAGCTGATGTTAGCTAGCTTGTTGTTGTTTGA